CCCCAAAACCCCAAAACCCCAAAACCCCAAAACCCCTTTTCACCTGCGAAAAATTGAACAAGCATAAATAAATTCACAAATTGCGAAATAAAATATTAAAAATGGAGCTTTCTTTACGCCAAGAGCTGACTAACGGCATCGATAAAGCCAAGCTAGTAAAGGCAATTCACCAGAAAATAATAGGTATTTGGTACCCTGACCTATAGACGAGAAACTGCAAAAGCAGAGAGCTTATGATGTCCATCTTGAGAAGGCTAGAGCAATTGAAGACATGCGTTTGCAAGCTTACATGCAGAAGGAGTTTAGGAAGGAACAACAGAGAGCAAAGGTTAAGCAACAGAAGCAGCAGTAAATCCCCACTAGTTCATGAATATAGGTACGATAGTTTCATATCCAGTACGAAATATACCAGGGATATGAAGGCTAAACTAGAAGTCCAGAACATATTTGCTAAACAGCAGCAGATCCTGGACGAAAAGAAACAGAAGCAGCTTGACTGGTAACCTCAAAATTTTAGACATAGAATGACCAGGAAAAGTCAGCATATCTCAGAGAAGAAGAAACAGAGGCAGGCCCTAGCAGGTAAGAAGCTCAGGGAACTGTCAAGAAATATTCAGCATGTCAAGACTAAGGGCGAGAGTCTTATGGATGATAAAATCTTCAAAATTCTGGAAAAAGAGAGAAAGCAAGAAGAAAAGTTAAAAGAATACAAGATTAAAAAGTCTCTTCAGTACTTTGATATCAAGAAAAAGTACGAATCAAAATCTATAATCTCAGGTACATATTCTATCCCATGAGCCTTTCTTAACCCTCATAGGATCGATAGAAGACGATAGGTTTAGTGAAATTCTCACTAAACAAAGCTTCACTAAGAATAAGAGAGAGAATAGTCCGGAGACTCATTTATATAAAAATACTGGCAAAACGCAAAGGAACCTTTTCCCTAATCCCAGGAACTTCCAGGTAAGATATAAAGACGGGTTAGGACTTCTAGGCTGCTTATTCTCAACCTAGAACACCTCTCTAACCTCTCTACAGAACCGTGAAGAGATCAAAGGCCAGATAAAAATTCTCGATGATGATCGAAAAAGCAGGTACCTCAAAAAACTAGAGGAAAAAGAGAGGAATTTCTGGGAAAATAAGAGGAACGAAAAACTTAGACTCAAAAGGTTCAGAGAATGGGAGGAAAAATAAGAGACAGGAAAAGCAAGCAAAGGTTGAGAAAAAGAGTAAGCCTCCTCTCCATCCTGTGTAGATGAATACATCGATCTCCTCAAGTTGTACAAGCAAGAGGACCAAAGGATCAGGTCTATGATGAGAGGGACTAATAAGCCGTCACTGACAAAGTTGAATACTAACCCAGGATATGCACTTAGTCCAAATTCCTCAGCGTATTTCCAGAAGAATGGAGTCGGCAAATCTGTTAAAAATGTAAGTGGGATTGGGTGATGTTTAGAGCTCGATGAAGCGCCATAATTTGACAATGGAGTAGAGTTTTTAAGGGATTTCAATATGATTCATGAAATTTGGGGTTTTGGGGTTTTGGGGTTTTGGGG